GTTCCTTAGAAGCAAGGATGTACTCTGGACATATTATTAGGAGAGATCAGATGTCCTCAAAAAGGACATCAAGGTTGGTAGAGGGTCATTAAAGAGAGGAAGATCCTCAATGATATGGATTGACACTGTGCCAGTAACGATGAGTTCAAACGAAGCAATTGCGAGGATAGTCCAGGCCGCGGGCATTGTCTCATTCTGTTGTACATAAGGTAGCTATGATTCAAATCTAACTTGACAGTATCTAATAACAAAAACACAGGCATACTATGGAACAATGTAAGAATCATCCAAAGAAAACAGAAGAAATACACAGTAACTTTTCCAGAAAGAAATGATTGCTGTATAAACATTTCAAGAGGTAGCATATGATTCATTAGCAATGTCATTGAAGGAAGAAGTTCAGGCTGCGCTGAAGGCAGTGGTGAAAAACAATTCTCCAGGAATTCATGGAAAACCAATTGAAATGTTTTAACAAATTGATGTAGTGTTAGAGTACTCACTAGTCTATGCCAAGAAATTTGAAAGTGTTTGCCTGCCCAAACAACTGGAAGAGATCTATAGTTGTAGCTATTCCAAGGAAAAACCACTCAGGAGGTGGAAATTATCTAACAATATCATTAATGTCATGTGCAAGTAAAATGTTTCTGAATTATCTGAAGATCATTCAAAAACAGTTGCAGTAGAACATTGACCTGGAGCTGGCAGCAATTCAAGCCATATTCAAAAGAAGGTGTGGAATGAGGGATATCATTCCTGATGTCAGATAGATCTTGGCTGAAAGCAGAGAATACAAGAAAGATGTTTCCTTAGTTTTACTACTATGCAAAGACAGTTGAATGTGTGGAGCATAACAAATTATGGATAACATTGAGAAGAATGGAAATTCTGGAAAATTTAGTTTGCTATGTTGAACTTGTACATAGATCAATAGATAGATCTATAGAACAAAAGGATAGGGAATGGTATAAAAAAGGAAAAGTATATTGTCAAGGTTGTATCTTCTGACCATAATTATTCAATTTTTATGCTGAGCAGATAATCCGTGAAGCAGGAATATATGAAGAACATAACATCAAGGTTAGAGAACAACAGAAAGCGTACATTCTGTAATCTATTCATGTATTTCACTAGTATGTGCTTTTCATTGGTAATTTTTGTTTACAATATGCAAAAAGTATGGGGCTGAAGTGCTCTCTAGTGTTCCTAAACACAAAAAGGCTACACTACATATTGCTGATATAAGAAAACAAGTTAGTAGGTAAGCTTTGCAGCATTATAGTGAAAAACATGGAGAAAAACAGAAGGACTGTGTGAATTTGTTTAAGGCAACTCCAGAAAATGCTAGAGTAACATCCACAATGCCTGGTGAATCTATAATAAAGACAAAGTGGTGATTTATGAACTCATGAAATGATGACACCCCCCCCCAAAAAAAAAAAAACATAGGCAGAAGTGGGGCAGTAAGATGGAAAGCCCAAGAAATTTACTCTCATCCTCCAGGATGAGGTGAATGTCAACCCCATATTTGCTCAAATTTTACAATAAAGATTTAATTGCATATAATTTCATATTGCTTTCCTGAATAATACCTGTAATATAAGGTGTCTTTTAACATTAACACATATCTTAAAAAGATGACAGCCTTGAAAATTGTGCCACAGTTCTATTCTGTACACACAAGGTTGCTACACACCAGAAACTATTTGACTGTAGCTAAGGAGAGCAATATGAAATTTTAAATTTGCACCAAAAATGCAAAATAAAAATACTATTTTCAAGCTATGCTCCAGGAAAGTGGTTCTTGTAGCTAGGTGCTATCCAGTCAGTTCTGACTCACAGCAACTCTACACATAAGAGAAGAAAATACTGCCAGGCCCTTGTTCATCCTCACAATTATCGTTATTGGTATGTTGCTTGAGCTCAGTGTGTCAATCATCTCCTCCACTTGTCCTTCTTCCTCTTTTCCCCAACGTTCACAGTTTAATCATCAATAATCTAGTAGTGCATGTAGCTTGCATGTTTGATCAACTTCAGACAAGAACTTTGTAGAATTCTTCGATTTTGTCATAACTAGCTTTAGAGGTTGGTGCACAAATGTGAGTAATAGTTGTACTCCCTGAACATCCTTGTAGGCTTATAGATTCTATTATATTACTCACTGCATTGTACTTCAAGATCTTGGAATGCTCTTTTTGACAATAAATTGATTTTTCCTGGCTTTGCCATTCCTGGCATAAGTTATTACTCTACATTAATTATAAATATTGGTAATCATTTTCCAATACACTGGAAGATATTTAAAGAGCAGATATCAAGAGTTAATTTAAAAGTTTCCTGTCCTATTTTACCATGGGCTGGGCCATTATGATGTGGTTGGTCAGTTATGGAATAGTCAGCCCTACAGTCCCTTATGAGAGCTGATATAAAGTATTCACATCCATGGTGAGATTGGCTATGAGTAGCCAATCAGTGGAAAAAGAATTTCCCTATCAGAATGACCTGCATTGAGCATATATGGACATTCTAGCTTTTTGTTCTCCCTGGGCCCTGCATTAGCCTCTCATGATAGAATCTTTTCTTGGGAATTGAAAGTAACATGGCTTAAATCAGTTCCCAAAGTAACATCCTTGCTTGTCAAAACTTTAAAGGGGTCAGTGGACTGCCCTATGGCCTGCTAATTTGAGAATTTGCTAGATGCTGAGCTAGGAGTCTGCTTTCGGGCCTGAATTTTATAGAGCCCCTACGGCAACATGTATCAGGAGAAACTTCCTGACTCAAATTTGACCCACAGACTTGGAACTTACCAGCCATTTACTTTAGATCTCACTCTCTCTCCAAACACACACACACACACACACACACACACACACACACGTTTTTAGGTGCCATCAAGTTGGCTCTGACACACAGCGCCCCAATGCACATATGTACAACAGAACAGACCACTGCCTGGTCCTGCTCCACCCTCACAATTGGTCCCAGGCTTGAGCTCATTGCTGCAACCACTGTATCCATCCATCTTGTCGACAGGCTTCCTCTTTTTCAACAAAAATCTATATATATTTGTCGTTGTTAGGTGCCATCGATCATTTCTGACTCTTAGCAGTCCTATGTACAACAGAACTTAACACTGCCTGGGCCTGGGCCATCCTCACCATAGTTTTTATGTTTGAACCTGTCAATGTAGCCACTGTGTCAATCCGTCTTTTCGAAGGCCTTCTTTTCCACTGCCCCTCCACTGTACCAAGCATGATCTTCTTCTCTGGGGACTGGTCTCTCCTAACCATATATTCAAGGTATGGGAGACGAATTATCCCCATTCTTGCTTCTAAGGGCATTCGGTGTACATTTCTTCCAAGACAGCTTAGTTTGGTCTACACTTGACCTTAGCCGAAAGGCCGAGAAGCGATAGCTTAGTTTGTTCTTTTGCAGTTCATGGTACTTTCAGTATTCTTCGTCGGTACCACAATTTAAGCCCATCAGCTCTTCTTCGGTCTTCCTTACTCAACCTTCAACTGCCACATGCATCTGAGGCGATTGTGCAACATTACATTTACCCAATGTGATGTGTCATTTGACCTCTTGGCTGCTGTTTCCAAGTAAACATGTTTTACTGGCATTGCTTCGCAAGAGAATCCAACCTAACATAACAGGCTCTAGTCAAAGGTTACCTTTACTATTTGACAATAATATTTTAACTCTTCAGTAAGCTATAAAAGAAAAGCTTAGTCAGATAAAAATCCGACTATCAAAATAAGCTAATAAACTTGAATAAAGCTTTCAAGCAAAGTAGCAAATAATCTTTTCAACACATTTCATAATTGATGCTAATTCAAAAGTAAGTCTACTCTTGCACTAAGCTTACTGGCATTAATTCTATTCTGCATCTCACTTTTGTCCTCATAATGCTCCATAAATCAGTCTTTGGGGATCATGAATTAGCTGGCCTCCAAAATAAAGTGACAAGTTAATTAAGTTATGTAAGGAAAATGGTTTTCAATTCTATACCCCAACAGGCAAGAGAGGGACATAGAAAATTTATGATTGCACGAAGTTGATAGGTACTCTTTGCCTAATATTAACTCCAGGCACAGTGACAGGGTAATCACTCTAACCTTTTAAGAATGCAGATATCATCAAATCTGACTTGCTGAGGTCATACAAGCTGTATTAATGAAAATTTTACTAGACAAACTTTCCAATAAGGACTCTAGGTCAGGAAATATTTGCACAAGGATTTATCTCCTTATACATGTTTTTTTTTTTATTATTCCCCTGCCTCACATAACACATTTGATGAGGGCAATTTTGGCAATCTAGGGGATATATTAACTATCCATTTGAGATTGATTCTTTAGGAATAAGTTAGACTTGTAAATAGTGATCTCACACTATTTTCTCCCCTTTTGCATTATTAAGAAGGCTGTTATTTGTGAGTAGGACAAAACTCATTGAATCATGGTAGCATATACTAATATCATCTCACCAGAATATATTTAATAATACACATTCCAGATTCCTGAAAAGTATTATTTGAAAACCCATACAAAATCCAAGAATAAAAATGTAATTGTTGAAATAAAGCAGTCATGACAATAACCACTGGACAACAAGCCCCAAATCTTAAACAATAGCTCACTGCCATCAACTTGATTTTAGCTCATAGTGGCTTTATAGGACAGAGTAGAACTTCCTGTGTGGGTTTCCATAAATCTTTATGGGAGCAGAGATTTCATCTTTGACTACAGTTAGCAGTCTAATGTCTAACATACTGTGCAACCAGGGCTTCCCCCAAGTTCTAAAGGAACCACCTTTAAAAGCCAAATGAGTATCAGGGAGCAGGAATGGTTCAGTAGTAAAATGTTCACTCTCCATGCAGAAGATTAATTCCGAGCCAAAGCACCTCAAGTGCAGCCACCAACGTGTGTCAGTAAAGGCTTGTGTGTTGCTATGATACGAACAGGTTTCAGGAGCCTCCAGGCAAAAATGGACTAGGAAGATGTACCTTGAATCAAGACTCATGGTTAACTGTAGCTACGGTTTCCAAACAGCAGCCAAGAGCCAGGTCTTCCGATGGTCGGTTGGCTGTTCAGTACTCCACAAGGGAATGGCCACTTCAGTTAGAAGAAATATAGTAAAAAATAATAATAATAAAAGATGGGCTCAAAGGAAAGGCCCAATAATTTACTTCTGAAAATCAGTCAGTAAAAACCTGATGGACTTCCAAGAACTTCCATTAATAATGAAGACAACACAGGACAGGGTAGCATTCCCTTCTATTTGGCATGGGATTGCTATGAGTGTGTGGAGCTCAAAGACAGCTTAAAAAAAAAACAACCCAAAAACATGAGAATCAATGGGCTGAAAGTTTCATATTTCCCCCTTCCCTCATGGAATCTATATTCCTGAAATCACTAAATTAGGGTAAATTGCAACCAGAAAAGCTTTTTCTCAGGCACCTCCCAAACTTCTCCTTTCCTTGACTTTTTCCTCTCCTTTATGAAAGCATCGCTTTTTTCTACCCCACCTTAAGCAGACAAGCTCTGTCTGAATCGCCTTTCTTATAAGCAAAAGTATTTAATCTTCTAGGCACACATGCAGACTGAAACTCCACGGTGTAGGCAGAGTTTTCCCTAAAAGGAAAAACTCACAGATGTAGAATTTCAGATTTCATGGTCAGTACATAGGAGAGAAATTCTGGGGAAATACTAGCTATCCAGGAGCTGACTTGGGGAGCTGAGAAGGAGTCAGCATCCAAAGCTTAGTGACTACATATTAGAAACCTAGTCACTGTCTGCCTGCTCACCATTGGGCTACCTTAGCTCGCACAGTACCTGAACACCTAATCCAAGCTTGCTGTATAAATGGGAATTAGGGAAGCACACTTTGTCTGTGATTGCACCCA